GCGCTGCTAGATTAAATAGTTGAGTTAAATAAATCAGCCATTTATTTAACTCAGTTGCATGGAGGTAGGGAGCACCTAAAACATGCTGCACAGTGTCTCATACCTCTTGGTGACCAACATTTTTTTTTGTGCTTTTTTACTCTTGGACTTTGACTTTTCCTCAATTTTTGTTGCACATGTGTTGGGCACTGCTTCCATGTTAAATCACTGCATGCATGCTCATTGTCTTACACCCAGTTTTGTGGTCTTGCTATAGGCAATACACACAAAAGCACTTCACTAATAAATAGAGCAAAAAAGATGTAAAACATCTGAAATAAAAATAGGCTTTCAGGCTGCAACAATTTACTTAGAAGACATTTATATTCAACCAGAGTCAGCTACTGGCTTAGAAATTAGTAAGGTTCCCTTCTCAGCGCATATTTCACAAAGGATTGCTGTTAGTACAGTTACTGATCTATAATCAGCCATGTACGCCTGACTTCTTTAACAGAACCCTGCTTCAAGAATCCATAGATATCCCTTTAAACTTAAATGAGCATTACTTTTGGGGATTTAAGTAATTTTTTATCTTAGAAAGTATTTTCTAGACCAACAGTCTTCAGAATAAGTTTGGAAGCATGGAATTATTTTTCCACTTTTTGAGAATGAAAAAGTGTCAGTTCAGCTCCAGGGTTTTTCTCCCACTTCTCCAAACGGAGTTGCTTAGATTGCTTCATTCTCCAGATAAGATGTCGACTGCTTATTACCTCCCCACCGAAACCACCATGAACTATTCCTCACATTCTTACGTGCTGCTTTGTACAATGTTTACATGGGAATTAGGAATTTCTTTTGGCTATAGAAGAGATATGGAGCTATTTTTAACATTTTAACTGTGTTTAACCCTTTTAATGCAGAGTAACGACCCAGAGCAACGTACAGTGAAACACTTCCACTTCACTGCCTGGCCTGACCATGGGGTACCTACGAGCACAGAAGTGCTGATCCGTTTCAGGAGACTCATGAGACAGCACATAGAAAGTGAAGGGAGTAAAGCACCAACTGTGGTTCACTGCAGGTACAACAAAATAAACAAGGTCTTAAAATACATAAATCGGTTGTAGTAACATATTATTTTAGGTGAACCAATCTAGATATAAATGCTGACAACTTTGAATTAGTTTTTCATGACTGATACATTAAAATTGGGAGCTGAAGATAGAGTAAATAAAAGAGAAATAGCATGAACTTGAAACCTGCAATACTTGCAGATTTATTTTGAGTGAAAAAAGGAACTGGAAAAAAATCAAACATGGACCAAGATTTTTAGTCATACTATGGAAGTTCACGTGTAGCGCTACAGTTGACTGCAGTTAAGAGTAACTTTCTGACACTAGCTTTGCCGGCTGAAAATAAACAAAACAGAATGAGTAAAAAAAGAAGAATTTTACATAAACAACAGGCCACATCTGCAGATATATATAAACAGCAGAGATAGCCATTAAAGTGTTACTGGTCTGCATCATTTTACTCTTATGGTCGATTAATATTCAGCAGAGGAAGCCTAGTATAGGGGAAATAAGACACAAATTATTTTTAAAGAATTTGTCTGATGAAATATGGAAATATGGAAATATGGAAAAAGCATTTCTAAGGTGTTTGCATGTTTTTTCCTTTTATTGATCATATTTTCTTTGTGTTTAATACAGAAAGAGCTCATGCTTAAATGAGATTAGATTACAATAAAAGCAATAGGGACTATTTCAATACAACATTTATGCAATGTTGTCTTGCCTTTCTCCCAGTGCTGGCGTAGGGAGGACGGGCACCATTATCGCCCTGGACGTTCTGCTTCAGCAGCTTCAGCGAGAAGAGAAGGTTGGCATCAAAGGCTTTGTTGAAAAGATGAGGCGGCATCGATCACATATGGTGCAGACAGAGGTAAAGCTAACGCTTGTCAACTAGCTGTTTGTTCCAAATTGTTTTCTATATGTATTTACGCCTTCATGCCTATTTGTATTCAGTTTTTACAATAAAACAGAGTAAAAACTCTACAGCTTAACTGAAGTGCATAAGTATTGCATAAACTTTTCACTAGGTCAAATAAAAGTGAGCCTCAGAGCCTTTTTTTTTTGTCTGAAATGTGACATTTCTGTAAAAAGGGTTGGCTTAAATCCTCCTTACGTCTTAAATTCTGTACACTGCAAAAACGATTTAGAAATAACTAAAAGTTTCTATTATAAGGGTATTTACCCTTAATTTGAGTACTGTAGGTGAATAACATGATCTGCCAATGGAATTGTTTTTTTTCTTCTTAAAATAAGATAATTAGGGAATATACAATACGATGCAACAGTTTTTTTTATTTTAAATATAAATTGTCTTGTTCCATTGGTAAAGCATCTCACTTACCTCCTCAATTTAAGAAAAATGCAATTAAATTAAGAAAAAAATTACTTTTTTTTTTTTTTTTTGCTGTGTATATGTGAGGAAAAAATCTGCAAAAAAATCTGCATTTGAAACGTTTAAAACCTTTTCTAAATGTCCTTTTTTCAGTCCCAGTATGTCTTCCTGCACCAGTGCATCATGGACAGCCTGCAGCTTCCTGAGACGCAGGAGGAGAACGTATATGAGAACGACCATATATATGTCAACACCACCGCTCTCAAAAATTTACGTTGACAAAAGATGAATCAACTCCCAGCCCTGCACTAGGATTCATTGCACTTAATGACAAACTAATAATGTTAGAGTAATGGTACTGATATATATTGAATATGTATATTCAATATAATATTCAATATAATATGAATATTTTTATTGTGAAAGAATGCTTTTATAATTTAAATTATGGCTTGTCTCATCTGCCAGCTGTTATTATTCTATTATTATAATTATTATAATTATACCCGCAAATGAGCAGAAAATATTTAAAACTGTGCTAAAATTATAGAGTTGTTAAAGTACAAAGTTGTAATTTGTACAAAGAAATAAAACCTTCTATTTTCAAAAAATTTTCACGTTTCTTGGGGAGAATAAAGTCGAGTGCTGAGGATGTTGTTAGGGACACTGTCTCTTTAAAATCTGAAATGTTTTATGTTTTTTAAGTAGACTACTAGACTGTAAAAAAGGTTTTAATTCATATTGATATGTTTAACACTATGCCAACTGTCAGAGAAAAAAACAACCACAGAGAAGGAACCCTGGTTAAGGTGGAAGTCACAGAATTATGTAGATTGCTAAATATCCCAACTCACAGTGAAACTAGAAAAGCACCAGACATTTTTCCCCTTTTTGTGTCTTAAAACCTACAGAAAAAACTTGCACAAGATCTGGATTATTACAAAATTCAAATGATTTATTGGAGGCACATTTCAGGAAAAAAAAAATCCATTCATAAGTTTTCAATCAATCCTGCTAACAAACAAACAATGTTCTCTTTTCTTTATATTTGTCTGCAGTAAAAATAATAACTAATAATTACTTGATGCTGAATCTGTCAATAGTCACCGCTAACACCGTCTGGTTTAGTGGGGAACTACTTGTTCCGCCAAATATCCCCACCTCACAATTTTAGAGTCTTTTAAAAATTCCTGCAACCAGATTATGATTTGGATCATTATCAATGGATTGTTTCTTGGTATAAGGGACATCTTATAAAAGTTTCATTAAAATCCGTCCATAACTTTTCATTTCAAGTTACCTTCTACACAAACAAACTCTCCAAAAAACATAACTTTCTTGGCAGAGGTAGAGACTTTTCTGTAATGTTGGTTCATTGGGCGTCTCTTTTTTTTTTTAACAACTAATTGATGTATAAAATGTTACTTATTTAAGTCTTTCATTTTTTTTTTTTTTTTACAAAAAAAGACAAGTTAGTGGATGTTGTATAAATACATGAAAACAATTTATTGTCTTTAGTGATGTCAAAAGGCAAAAAAAACCGACCTTGTATTTTTTTCCTGTGGAGAGGATACACACCCTTCTCAGCCATTTAAAAACAAAGTAGAATTACATATAAAAATAACTCCAGATAAGAGAAAATGCATTAAATATGTCCTGTTTCTGCTTGCTTGCACGGCAGATAACAATCTTACACATCCTCTTTTAGATGGTTGGTGCAAAATCACCCTTAACAGTTGGGGAAGTTTCTGTCAATCAGTTCCTGTCGGGCTCTTAGTGCCTCATGGTTGATCTCCATTGGAGCTGAATACGGCTTGCCTGGATATGGAAGCTCTTCCTTTCCGGCGGCAGGTGGAAGAGGAACTGAGAACTTTTTAGCGATGTTGTGCAGCACGCTGCACGCCTTTATAATGTTCGACTTCTTGTTCAAAGAGGTTTCCTCAGCAAAGCCAAGCTGCTGCAGACACCTGAAACGCGTCTTCATGGAACACAGCATCTTCTGCATGACTTTGTCCATCTTTGCATGGGCCTCGTTGAAACGGACTTCCCTGATGCTCATCGGCTCCGACACAGGAGTCAAGACATGTTTGCTTAGCTTGTAGCCTTTTCCACCTTCACAGTAGACAAGAGAGAAAATTAATTTAGTAATAGAACTATTACATCTAAGGACTTTTTGATAAAGTCGACCTTTATGCAAAGTCACACTTGGATGACGTACCGTACATAAAAGAACCAGAAAACCACTAGAACAATGTCCCACGGAAATATGAGACAACTAAGGGAAAAACATCTTGCTTAATGTCAAACACTGTGGTGCACCACTGATAAACTGAGCTCGGTTCTTTGTCACCCTGCAGTTGAGGTCTACCATGACTTCCTTCGTCAGTCACACGGTCGCTTAAACTGGGCCATTGACATACACTGCAAAAAAATGAAATCTAAATAAGTTATTTTTTCTTTAAATAAGTGCATTTTTTCTTGAATTAAGGATTTAAGTGAGACACTTTGCCAATAGAACAAGCCAATTTACACTTAAAATAAGAAAAAACAATTGCATTGTCTTATTTCAAGTGTATAATATCTAGATACCTTATTTTAAGAGTAAAAATACTAATTCCATTGGCAAATCATCTTATTTACCGGCTCAAATTAAGGGGAAATACCCTTAGTTTAAGACATTTTTACTCATTTTGAGATAGTTTTTGCAGTGTAGCAATAATCCCAAACACTGAGCGGAAATAAATCTACAAAAAAAAAGGTTTTGTTCTAACTCAATGAAAGTCCAGATTTAAACCTGACTTAAAAGCAGCTGTGCTCACTTAGAAAGCTGGCTCAAAGGTATAAAGGTGAGTCAGATTTCCTGCTCAGAGGTGTAAAGAAAGTGAGATACACAAGTCATAAACGGTCATTGGTGCTGAAGGTGTGTCTTTAAGTCATTAAATCAAGAGTGGGAATACCTTCTTCTATGACCGTATTACCATCAAGGCTTTTATTTTTTTATTTTTCCCATAACCATAATTTAATTTAGCCCTCTAATCTCAGCCATATAATGTGCTCAGCTGTTACCGATATGGCTGGGCAATGTGCTTTAAAGATCCAAGCACACATTTTTTTTCTCCCTTTAGCTTTGTAATAAAATGAATAATAACATGCATTACTTTTTAAAAGTTAGCTTTTAATTCAATTATTTCTTTTGGAGGTGACCTTATTTAAAGGTCAAATACATTCAAGCGGTAAAAAACGCCTTCTAAACAATTCTTTGCAACAAGCAATGAAAATATAACTAAATGTTTGCAGTTAGTGGCGTTACATAGTCAGCTAGTTTATCAGTTATAAGTACATTTAAGGACAAAAAGGGGATGAACTGATGTCACCCTGAGCTATGAAGCTAAAAGAATTTGAATAATCAGTTAATCATCCAGCCCTACTTAATGCACAAATGCTAAACTTTTAAGCTCCTAAAAGTTGATTTAATCAAAATGATATTTTTTCAAACATATATTGAAAAAAAACATTATTTAATGTACACGATAATCACTGTGTTGTGGACATCAAGTGAGTGAACAAGCTAAATATACACTGAAATAAAAGAGGAACTGTCATAAATGCAAAAGTATTGCAAAATATTAGTGGCACACATAACTGCAAAATTAATTTTAAAAGCTGCAATGATGAGAACTGAGATTTATTATAATGTGCAGCTTTTAGGGAACAAACTGAGATCAGCACTAAAAAGTCATTAATTAACAAGCATGGTGGTGGCAGAGCATTTCTTTGGCTTTAGTTTGGACTCTATGAACATTTAGGAAATACTATCAAACATGTTTATATGCGTTAGTAAATACCTGAACTCCTTTTTTTCAATGGTAATGTATTTCTAATATATGGGTTTTCTTCTTCAGAATAATAATTAGCTCACCATGATGAACTGATATATAATTGGAGGATGTAGTAAACTCATTTCAGCCTATAATTTTTGTAGAGCTGTTGACAATTTTGTGTCCAAAAGTTACCATTTCTGGTACATAAGCAGCACTCTGAGGCAAAATGCAGTCTGCAGGGTGCAGCTCTGTCGTAAACCTGAGTGTAACTGTTTCACAGAATAACACCAGTGATCTAAGACCCACTTTTACTCTTTGGCTTTTAACAACGTGTAGTTTGTGTGGTCATTTGGGTCCTTTTTTGTTTATTTATTGTTGCATTGTTGTGTTGCTTTTTATTATTTGTTATGTACAGCACATTGGAAACTTTTTCTGTTGTTAAATGTGTTATATAATTAAAGCGGATTGGATTGGATCTACTGTGTATGATATCTAAAGTTTAATAAATCAAGTTAGAAACTTAATGAACCTATAAAAAAAGAAGTTAAAAAGCTAATTAAAAAATGAAAAAAAAAATGCATCCATCCATTTTCTGTCATGTTAAATTCCAGTTGGGGTCGCGAGGGGGGCTGGTGCCTATCTCCAGCTGTCTATGAGCGAGAAGCGGGGTCCACCCTGGACATGTCCCCAGTCCATCGCAGGGCAACCCAGAGAAAAGAAAAAAAAAAAAGATTCACACAAACACACACCTAAGGAAAATTTAGAGAAGCCAAATAACATAACAGTCATGTTTTTGGACTATGGGAGGAAGCCGGAGTACCCAGAGAGAACCCACGCATGCTCAGGGAGAACATACAAACTCCATGCAGAAAGACCCCAGGTCGGGAATCGAACCCGGAACCTTCTTGCTGGAAGGCAGCAGTGCTACCCGCTGTTTCACTGAGCAAAAAAAAAAAATTTAATTTAAAAAGTAAACTCAAAAAGTAAAACAACAAACTTCCTGTTTTAGTATAAATATTCTGAGGGTTATGTTGTAAGAAATGTGTTTTTCTCTTTGTAAGGGTTTNAAAAAAAAAAAAAAAGATTCACACAAACACACACCTGAGGAAAATTTAGAGAAGCCAAATGACATAACAGTCATGTTTTTGGACTATGGGAGGAAGCCGGAGTACCCAGAGAGAACCCACGCATGATCAGGGACAACATGCAAACTCCATGCAGAAAGACCCCAGGCCGGGAATCGAACCCGGAACCTTCTTGCTGGAAGGCAGCAGCGCTACCCACTGTTTCACTGAGCAAAAACAAAAAAATATTTAATTTAAAAAATAAACTCAAAAAGTAAAACAACAAACTTCCTGTTTTAGTATAAATATTCTGAGGGTTATGTTGTAAGAAATGTGTTTTTCTCTTTGTAAGGGTTTTTCCCAAATTGCACTTTTTTTTCTTCCTTTTTTTCAACTTATTAGGTCAAAAGACTTTTTTTTTTTACATAAATTAACCTCAACATTTTGCAATACAAATCCTTTTAATCGTTTAATAGCAATAAGGTCTGGTTTTGTCCTCCAATAACACTCTTGTTTTGAAATTTTGCATTTCCAGGTAGTGTTTCCTGTTAATGAGGCCATCTGACTTTGATTTCTCACCAATAAACCAAAATGCTCCATGAAGATCTTCCTCCACCTCCCTCCCTTTAAACGAGGAGTCCCATAACTCCTGTTCAAACGTGCTGCCCACGCAGCATTTTTCCACGCTCAGGATGTTGCCCTCACAGTCGCAGATGAACTGGCTCACCACCGATGTGTAACCCATGACGTTAATAAAAGACTTGAACGATGGTTTGTCGTAGGGAGAGGCTCTGATCTTAAAGTGCGCTGGGGCCAGGACTCCCAGGACGTCGGAAATCCCGCACAGCTCCTGTATCTTGGACGCGGTCCTGCTTCTGGCTTCAACGGTCAGCGGGAAGGAGATGAAAACATCGGACATTCCTGCAATGACGCCGGAGACGGCGCTGAGTGCGGCGGTGAGGCTGACAGGAGGAACCTTTTGCTGCACGGCTGGGGTGAACAGGCCGTGAGCGTAGTAGTTCAGCGCTGCCATGAGCATTACATCCGCGGGCAGCGGACTCCTTTTAAAGGCGGCCGACTTGAGGCGAACGCGGACGGCTTCTGTGATGAAAGCGATGCAGGGTCTGGAGAGGTGGAAGGTCTCAAACAAAGCTTCGTCCGTGAAACCGTCGAAGCAGCTCCGGGATCCGTAGTCCTCCTCAGGCTCGATGCTTCCCAGCAGCTCCTCCTGAACTGCCAGCCATATTGGCGCCGGGAAGGCCATGTCCGTCTTTGGTCTGACAAACTAATAAATTAATTATAAAAAAAAAAAAAACATGTATTCTACACAATGGCTACCATGCTAGGAGCTAACCAAAATAATACTCTTCTTCTAACAATCCAATGTCTGGAAGCTCTAAAAACAGCACTTTGGCTCCCTCTACTGGTCATTCAGTGTTTCTCTCAAATGTTAATATATTTTTTTCCTCTTTATTTAACCAGGTAAACACCGTTGAGATCTGGATCTCATTTTCAAGGGGGGCCTGGGCAGAGATCTGCAATACACTGCAACCTGGTTACAAAAAAAATCAATGAATACATACGCACAAATATAAAACAAAAACAATTTAAAAGCAGTGACATTGTTTCATAGAAGCGTGTTGTCTATTTTTAAGAACCATTTGAAATAAGTCTAATAAAATAGTGTCTGACATCTTGAGCTCAGACTGGAGCTGATTCCACGCTGTAGGAGCCAACACACTTCTTTCCTTTATCAGTTCGAACATGTAGAAGAATAAAGACATTGGAGCGTAAAAAATGTGAAGTACTAGATTTATGCAAAAGAGAGTATAAGTATGTTGGTGTTAGTCCAAGGAGAGATTTATATATTAGGATTATCAAATGATTGTTTCCCCGAACACTTAAAGGCGGCCAATCAGCTTTTGCATACAAATCACAAGGATGTATCAAACGTCTACTACCAGTTATAAACCTTAAAGCACAATGATAAACAGTATTCAATGATTTCAGACATTTGGTTGAAGCATTCATAGATAAAACATCTCCATAATCCAAAAGGGGCAGGAATGTTGCTGCTACCAATTGTCTTCTAGCTTTGAGTGAGAAACACGATCCATTTCGATAATAAAACCCAATCATGAGAATTAGACAGTTTAAAGTATTAAACTTAATTAACTTGTCGAAATAGAAACATCCTCATCTGAATTAATTTTGTCCTAGATACCAATCATTTAATCTACTAAAATCAGTGTCATATAAGTTGAAAAACATTAAACTGTTTAATATTACTCTTTTTTTCCCCTCGATCCAACCAACGTTTCTGCAGGACAGTTTACAATCCTATGTAAACACAGGCTTGGTTTATAAAAGCTCCCCTAATGTTCTGGCCAAGTTTAAAAACAAACAAAAAAAACACATCTTTCTTCTTTTTATACTAAACAAGCCTTTACTAGCATGTTTACACTTCTTTTATATGACTCGGTAATTGAGCAAATTAGATGTTTTGGTACATTTCCATTCAAATATATGCAAACAAAACATCTTAAAAAAGTTGTTCTCTTGATTTAGTACATACCTATGGATGTTAATTGAATGAGCCATCTACAGTGTGTTTTCTCTGGGTAACACCATACAGAGATCACATGTGATCCCAAAGACTATTTGCTGCATCAGTCTGTAGTCTCTCCTAATTCTAATAATGTTTAACATAAAATTATCACACCTTCAAATAAAGTTTTGCAATCTGTCAGCTAGCAAGCTTTAATGTGTTTTTTAACAAACCCATACCAGTCCTCAAATAACTGGATGAATCTGCACAGAATTAACTTAATAAACCACAACATTGTATAATACAAAACCCAATTCACTTATACCTGAAATATATATAATTTTATATTTCCGCCTTTATTCAACAAACTCATTTTCTTCTGATGAAAAAAAAAATCTTATTAACCGTTAACTTTAATGACAGTAAAGCGCACAAGGGTATGATAAACCCTTTAACAAAGTGACACATAAATCAAGTATTCAAAAATAAATAATAGCTACCATAACCTAAGAATAATCCCTCTTCCTTCAGCATTCAAACAACTGTTATCATCCTCACTTATAAATAATATAGAAGTGTAACTTTTCTGTAGAGAGTTCTAAATATGTTATGCATTCATACTTACAAGCTGGATGCCTTTATTAGTACGGATTATGTTTAATACTATCCATTTCACAAACTGATCACTTAGAGATTATTATGCTGCACTGTTTACATATCAAAATTCAATTAATGATTTTTTTTTCTTTAGAACGGCTCTGAAAAATTGTATTTACTGCAAACTTACATCCATACTTTACTACACTGGATAGTTAAAAAAAACAAAAAACTTAAATTAATAACAAAACTTTGCATTTCAGGGACAAACTGTTCTATAAAAGAACAGATTTTAAAACAGCTGTAAACTTGGAGTGCAGATAAAAACAACAATCTATACCAAATGAAACCCAATTCAGTTTTCTGAAGCAGCGATGGCCCTGTACAGTCTGTGTTTGTCACCTATCAGAAGATAAATAGAACATTTTGTTGACTTCACTAATGGAAACGTCCTTCAGTCTGGGTATTCCTCCTTTTCGGTAGCAGTCTGACCTCTGACCTTGTGCAAATACGTCTGTGAAAGAAAGAAAATGTTTAGCAATATCTTGAAGGCATTTTTTGCCAGGTGAGATCTCAATTTGTTTTATATTAAAGATCAAGATTTTTCAGAAACAAAATGTTCATAGCCTCATTTCACTTTTAGAAAAAACCTATTTCTATTTCACCAGAGGTAGGGGAAAATATAAACAGTAGCAACAGTAGGATGAAACCTCACCTGTGATGTTGTCCACAGAGTCCAGTGGAGCTGTGTTGTTCATGTTGATCCCGAATAACACAACCACAAAGACCATTAATGCAACCAGGAGGTAGATTGGCATCGCAAGAGCCCAATATCTGAACAAGGACAAACGTTTCATGATGATCAACGTCATAACATTTACAGCATGAAGACAGCTGGTGAAATAATATAAGATATGTAACTTACTTCTGAGGCCAGTAGGTGAGTCCTACTGAATGAAGCCATTCCTCTGGTATATATGCCCACAGGCAGTACAAAACTACAGAAAGAGGACAAAAATGTTAGAAATATCACTCTCAGTCACATGTATGTATTAACTCCTAATACTACAATTATCCAGCTCTTTTAATGCCATTAACCTGGTCTTTCAAATAAATAGAAAATGTATTTACTTTTCATTGTCATAAGATAAAAGCAAAAATAATAGGTTCAATCACATTTTGGTCTCATAAGGTCCCTATTTGTCATATTTTTTTGGTTAATTAGATATAATAATTTAGGCGTGTGTAACAAATAGTACTAATGCTACCTTGGGTAGTTTCGAAAATTTTGTGTGCCAATTACAAGGCAAAAGACAGAGCTTCAACAGCACAGAATAATAAAACAAAACAGATCATCGCAGCCATCACTGCAACAACCAAATTTTATTTTAATATCATTGCTGGTGAGAAACCTCCATGTTTCCCACCTCCAGCTGAAAAATACCCTTATGGTTAAATCTAGTACATTTGCTGAAATGTTTAATCAGTGTGACCAATAAACGATTAAATATTCTGGTTTATTTCAGGACTTGGAAAATGGACATTTCCATAACTAATAATTGAGTTTAAATCCTGGGTGTAAATCATGTGATTCGTCAAAACATGTAGGAACAATGAATAAAAGTTATGTTATTTTCACATTTATTTAATGAAACAGGAAAGCGACTAAAACAAATTCTCTCTTGCTCTGATGTTTTGTAATATTTCATTTGATCCACATTACTATGGCTTTTTAAAAACGTACTATTTATTGACTTAATACTTTTTATTAAAAAAGACAATGAAAAATAAATCTCCTAGGGTACTATAAGTGGTTTAAATCTTAGAATTTTCCACAGTGAAGAACCTACAGAGAAAAATTTAAAAGATGAACAACTAAAAAGTGTTTCTTTAGTTTTTTTTATTTTAGTTTTTTAGAATTTTTTTCATAACCAAGACCATTTTAACGTCCTTTTGTTATGTAGTGGTTTTAGTCTGTTTGATGCTTCTATTATCCACCACGAAGTTCATTTAAAGAACTACCAATTGGCTGAAGATCGTAATGAGATTTCCATTATATGCGAGGCTAGAGTGAAAAAAACAAAACAAAACAAAAAACACTATGTACCTTAATACAGGCTACTAGCCATGGCTACTATCAAACCTTGAGGGAAAATAAAAACGTAGTAAAAATTTGAAATCTAATTCTATTCAGAGGTTGAACATGATTCATTTAGCAGCTGTCAAAATTTATGTCATTAAAACAGTGATCAGTTTGAACTTTATAACAGAGAATATAATTAATTTAATATAATTAAAACTACTTAGCACAAAATAAGGTATTTAAACTATACATTTTATATAATGAATTCAATCATTTTCATTTTTTCAGGAAGTGGAATGATTAAAGCTCTCAAAATGAGGGACTGACTTACAGAAACCAAACTGAGACCCCAGAAAGAGAACAAAGCCATAGATGGCTCTCTCAGGAAGAGGAGACGGAGAGTTTTCCACCATGATCTAAAACCAAAAAAAGAAACAAAAGAAAGAGTAGGTGAAACACAACGACAGAAACTATAACACAACTATATGAGGTATTTCTTTATCAACAAGCTAACTCACAACACTCATATTTTCTACAATACTTCCAAAAACAGCTTTTTCCAAATTACCTGAGCCGAAAAAATGAGTCCGCACCTTAAGTAAATAAAAAAATTAAATACTTTAAAGAATAAGCAAAGGGAAGCAATGGTTTAAACACAAAGTAAACCCCGAAGACTTCCACCATCACACTACCCCGCAACGACGTCGGTTAACAACAGTGACGTCAGTCCGTACCAGAAACGAGCTCGGAGCGAAATCTAATTCCGTTAAAGGTTCCTACCCTGAAATTATCTAAATAAAAACTAACGTTTCAACAATAAAATATGTAACTTATTAGAGACTTAGTTATTGTTAAAGTTTGTTAAAGTTAAAAAATAAGACAATTTTGCGGCATAGTTTAGTCGGGCTGCTGCTGTAAATTTTAGAGGTGTTGTTTCAGCGGACGTATTTAGCTATTGCACAGTGGAGAAATACAATGCAGCATGGCTTCTGAAAGCCCACGGTGATCAAGTTTATGGGCTGTTTAAGAACATTTTAGGGGATTTGTTTTTGTTTTACGGTTCCGTTTACTGTAAATTTGCCCCCAGAAGATATTAATGACCAGACAAGGTTATTCTCTACTTTCTAAAGCAGAATGACCAAAGCAAAGGCGAAGACAGCGCATCCCGACGCTAAAACCACCGCTAAAGATAAAAGGAAGAAGTTTTGGATTAAACACAATCTTAAGCAGAAATCTGACAAGACAACGACTCCAAAGAAGCATCAAGAAAAACCTGTCCCTCCACAAGAGCCTCAACAGATCTCCGCCAACTGGAAATCATTACAGCAGGTTGGTCGCTGGTGTAGATTAATGCACAAGGGTTTTCAGGATTTTTTTTGTTGTAATATCTTTCTAACTTCTCCACAGATCCTCAAGAGTAGTCAGACGGAGAAAACTCACCACAATGGCGTCATCACAACGAAAAATCCAGAAAAAGATTTTAAAAATACTTCTACGAACAGTGCTACTCTAAGCCAGAAAGACTGTGGGAGAAAAGGGAAGCTGAACATGGTTCCTGCTGCTTCAAAGGAGGCAAAGATGAAACACCCTGCATCCTCTGACTCTCAGCATTCCACTGCTCCAAAAAGGAAAAAGGTCAAAGAAAAACCAAACAGTGAGCAGGCAGCTAAAAAGAAGAAGAATGACACATCTTTGGTTGAAGGGAGGAAACCTACAGAGTATGTATACTGATACCTGCATGCTGATCTGATTTGGGTTTTTCAGTACCTCAAGAATGCCAGAAAAGTAATAATTTTTTTTAGGCAGTTAGACTTTGAAATAACTTTTTAATAGCAATCTTATTTTCCAAGGGATATAAATATAATGTCACACATGTTCCCATCTATTTTAGCCTGTATGCTGGATTGAGACCCACGTTTATTTTTATGGAAACATGACATCAGTATATTTTTTTTCCAGCAACAAACCCTTCTGGGAGCAATTAAAACCTTAAGCATTAAATAAACAGGAGTTACACCATAGTGCACCACAGCAGGGGTGTAACAAAGCCATCAGTAAAAGGATCTAACTTTGGGAGCTAATAAAAAGGCATTATATGAAATAGAGGAGCTCAAATAATGCATTTAACCTAAACTCTATTAATTAAAAATAAGGGGTAACTATACTAAGGAGACATAAAATACAAAATTCTGTTGTACACAGATGTAAAGCATCAAGTCATAATGGAGTCTTTGCCAGGTGGATTTATCTTGAGACTAAGGAGGGATTTGTGAAAAAGCAATGATCCCCACTGCTACACTGTAAGGTGATAAAAAGCATTTGAAAAATGTCAAAAAGTTGGAAACAACTGTTTAGTGGTGATTTTGTTCAAATAGAACAGTAATTATCAAACATCTTTCGGTCAGATTAGGCTTCTGCAAATAAAGCTTGTCATCAGATTTAGTAATGCATTTAACCTACAATCCTAAATCTGAATTCTTGATATTTTTTAAGTGAATTTCTCATGTCAGATTAAATTAGGACTGAAACAATTAATCTTATTGATCATGATGAACTGATTATTAAAATAATCCTCAACTAATTTAGTAATTGATTAATCGTTAACTGGAGTATAGAGGCTGTAAAACATGAATTTAGCTGAAAGAGCAACCAACCTAGAGCAGTAGTTATACCAAAACTAAAAATATTTGGCATTTTAGATAAAAAAAAAAAAAAAGTATTTCAACATAATCTATACAGGACTCACCAGTGGAAAAGTCTTAGTTTCACTTGGTTTAATTCTGTAAAAAAATCTTCTCTAGTGAAACTTTGCTATCCAATTTTTTATTGATTAATCAAAACATTTTTACAGATTCATCGATTTACAAAACAATCGTTATTTGCAGCCCTAGTTTGAAATGTTTAATTCCTCTAACTGAATTCTGTTAAACTTTTCATGCTGTGTGGTAATTGGGGAAAAAACGGCTAAAAGTAGAAAGAACTAGAGTTGCTTGAATAACAGGGGCTCAGTTCTGCATCTTTTCTTTAAAAGTTGAAATGCTTGCCAAAGACAGGTTTTAAATATTTATTCTGTTCAGTACGGGTCAGACTGCAGCATGTATAGAAATGACCTAACAAGTCTTTTTTTTCCGCTTCAGGGAAGACCTTTGGTTTGATGATGTGGACCCTGATGATATTGAGGAAACAATGGGAGCAGAAGCAGCAGAGATCATGAGGAAGAAACAGGGGATCCACAGCAGAAGCAAAGAAACAGATAATGCTTTGGTGAAGGATAAGTCATTTGATGGGTAAGTAACGGAACAGCCTATTTTATTTATAGCAATGCTCTCATCCTAAAAAGCAAAAAAATGTTTCTTCTTTAAAATTTACTTTATTACATTGAAATAATAGAATTTCAGACATTTTTATATTTGATTGAAGTGTTAAATACCAAAAAGTGATTCAGAAAAAATGTGTGTTTTTTTCCATTGTTATTTTTATTAGTATTGATACTAGTGTGGTATTTTAATTTAACATTTTCTCTAAACATTTCTTTTCTTTACTTTGGAATTGTTAAAATAGTAAAAAGCTGAAAAGTTGTTCCTATAGGATTTGCTCACAGTTAGGACATGATTCTAGCACTGAACAGGGAAGTATAAACATTCAATGATTTAATATATATATTTGTTTATTTTGAGAAGTTGGGCAAAGGCTGTGTCAGTGTTCAATGTCAAGTCATAATTACTGCGTGTGACCGCACGAACAGCGCCCTCTCCTGGTAGACTTTTGACTAGAAGCAACAAAACAAAAAACCCTGAGGACAACAAAAAGCAGTTCAATATTTGGATAATAATAATAAAGTATAGTTTAATGTATGTATACTTCAAACATAAAAAAATTGCATGAGACATAAGTATATACTTTTATAGCTCATAAAAGAATATAATCTGAACAATAATGTATAATAAAGGAGAAATGTGACAAGTTTATTTATCTGATTCTTTCCAATTGCTGGGTGTCCAATTCTTATTAATGTCCTATTACGATATACTTTAAAATATATGAATTCCAGGTTTAATAAAGATTTCTAAAAAATAAACAAAATATGTTATTTAAGGACACATTTTGTCTTAAGGCCTAAACACACTGGTTGCATATGGCTTTTTAATCTCTGGTCCGATGTTTTTTCCATGTAACACTGACTGCATATAGAGAGGCTCTGACTAGGCAGGGTGGACTGATGTGTGCAGATTTTTTTCCCACTTCTATGTGCTATACACAAATTGAAACAATTTCCCCGCATTTGACTTGGACAGATTATAAAAAGTTATTTAAATGAATAAATAAAAATTCAGCAGCGCAGGTATAAAGCAAAGCCCCACTTAACGAGTCTGTGCATTATCTCTTAAAACCAGAACAGATAGAGAATTTTTATAGGCCTATTTTAGAGACATGAGAACTACGTTTGAAGAAAATAAAAGCAAAGTAATAGTCTGACTGAGGCAGTGTGAGGTGATTCTCAGAGAGAGATGTGTGAAGTTTTTTTTCATAAAGAGGGGAGAGTGATGCATTTTGTATACCTGCACTGTCTGCTCCTCTTTGTTTTTGTTTTTTTCTTTTTTATGAGGCTCAAAGCGGAACACTATTTGTTATATCCATTTTCTGCCCACCAGGAGTGTGATAAACTGCACTTTCTGTCCCTTGTAGCTTTTGCAGGGCTCAAATAGGATCACTATTTTATCCGTTTTCTGTCCACCTTTCATGGGTAAATTATTCTATTTTTTCATATTTCATTGATTGTTTTTGCATGAGTCTGTCCCGCTTGCTATATACACAATGTGCAAACATGCCCTTTCCCCGTGTAATTAACAGATTTTATTTTGTGTTTGCCCCCCAAAGCAGATCGGTTTTACTTGGTATTTAAACTAAAGTAGACCTGGGGTCTATCCTAGTCGAAGCTACGCAAGACCCCTGCAGAAAATCGTGTTGGGTGTGATCATCCCCATTGACTTTTAATGAGCGCTAAACGCCCAACCTTTTTTGTTGGATTAGACACAAAATAAGATTCGGTGTGTTCTGGCCTTTATAGCAGAAAAATAATAGCAATTGGCCAAAACATAATGACCAGCAAATTAAAAAAACAAACAAACAGCATTTCAACTGTTCCTGTGTTTTTCTGCTAAGGCTGAGCAATATGCACTTAAAATTTTAACACAATATTGATATTATGTTATCAATAAAAATTACAATAAAAAAAGCACTACTCCTTCGTAGTCTTTCTCGGGTAGCTGCGACTGCCTACCTCAGCAATTATAACCGCACAATCACAAATAATACTCACAAATAATAATTTCTTTTTCCTCACACCTTACATAAAAAATATTTTTTTACTATACGTCTTGTACTAACACATTTAATCATACTATTTAAGTGTTTCAATGCTGCAATTAAAAAAATCAAAGAAAAAGAAGGAAAATAGTAAAACTTTCTGACAATTCATCCAGTTTCTGGGATTTGTAATCATCATTGATTTTAACTTATCGTTTGACCAGAAACTTCATGATAATGATAAATGCCCACCCTTAGTTTCCTCTAACTTAACAGATAAAGTTAAATTGATCAATCTTTTGTCCATGTTGCAGTCGACATGCTTTTTATTGATAAAGTTTTTCCTGTTGTACAGTATTTCCATCTCCCACTAGATTATTACCAAATCCAGCTTTGAAACACTTGTTTAAACCCCTCATGCACCTGACATGGCAGCAGCAGAGCACCAGTTGATCCTTAAATAAGATCGTAGAATTGTTTTGGAGCAAAGGCTGAAATTGTTTACTCTAAGTATATATGTTGTGGATGAACTAAAAAAAGCTTATAGATCTTCTGAGTTAGTACATTTGAATTTAGATGATTTCATGTTTATGTTATGGTATATTTGTTTTTCATACAACATGACCAATAAACATCCTCAGGTTCCTTTACTCAGATTAGGGATGGTTCTGCACTTCTTTCCGGGGTAGTCACTTGTTTCTTGACCCTGGTTGCTCTTCTTCCTCATAGCATAACCAAAGTGGTGGCCATTGATTGCGAGATGGTGGGAGTTGGTCCTGCAGGCGAGGAAAGCATCCTGGCCCGAGTTTCTCTTGTGAACAAGTTTGGAAAATGCATCTATGACAAATATGTAAAACCAACAGAAAAAGTGACTGACTACAGAACAGCCGTCAGCGGTATCAGACCGGAGGATATCGAAGATGGTAAGACGCTACCTGAGCTGATTAAAACTTGATTGAGGGTAAAATAGCTAGCGCTTCTTTGAGTGTGACTGTATTTATCGTCTTTGTCCATTTCACCTCAGGTGAGGATATCCAGACTGTACAGAGAGAGGTCGCTGACATCCTGCAGGGGAGAATAGTGGTTGGACACGCCATACATAATGATTTAAAGGTACAGTGTATTTTAAAGTATTTATACCTAAGCTGCCTCGCACTTTATTCATTTTTGTATTTTACTAGGGTTTTATGCTGGCTTTATGTAGTGTATGATTTTTCCATTGGAGGAAATGTCCAAATAGAGATGTGAACCAAATCATATATGTTTATGTATTTGAGCCTCCCTGAGTCAGCTGAGCTCAAGCTCAATCAAGTGGGATGAAGAGCATCTGGGATTTCAAGCTGGGATTTCAACTTTCATGCTATTCTAACATGACTAAACTTTAATCCTAAGTATTGTTCAATTGCTTCTTGCAGCTTCTCAGTGGGTTTTCTTTTAGGGTTGTTTTGTTTTTACAGTAACTATTCACATCTCCACACCCACTCTAATCAGTTTTGCTTTCCTGCTAAAGAAATGCAACCCCACAGCATGATGCTGCCACCACTATGTAACTCTGAGTTTATTAAGCATGCAGGAAAAGACAATCACCTTTGTTTTTAGCTCAGTAGAACAAAGTCCTCCATGTCCACATATTTACTGTGTCTCAGTCATGGCATTTGGCACACAGAACTACTTTTTTTTTCTTTATAAAATGGGTTTCTTCTTACCTCTCTTTCATAAAAGTTAACTTAGAGAGATGTTTAAATCTTTGGATCTTGTTTTAGTAACCTATCCTTGTTATAAACCCTTCTTTAATCCCTCTCTGACCTGTCATTCTATTGTGTTATTTGGTTTTAATCATGCTGTTTGTTTTCTAATGTTCACTATCAATCTTCTGAAACTCTCACAGAAAGGCTGAATTTATACCAGACTGCTGAGCTGTATTTAGTAAATAGGTGGTTACTGAAGGCAAATGGTTGCGTAGATGGTATTTAGGGGCATTAAAGTAAATTTGGTTGAATACGAACCTGTAGCCAACCTTTCCAATCCTAATTAAAAGTTGAAAATGGTTACATTTTCCATCCTTTTCATCATTATTTATTACTTTGCATTAGTCCATGGTAGGTGGGTCAACTGCAGTCTTTGATGACCAGTATTCTGCACCTTTTGGACATGTCCCTTGTTCAACGCAACTGACAGAATTACCTCATAGACACTTTCGAGTTCTGCTTATGACATTATTGTATGATTTAGGCATGTTGATCAGAGATGCCTCTTTCAGTTGCAGGACACTGGGTCTTGAGGACTGAAGCTTGATACGTGAAGTTTAGGGTTGTGAGGTGGTAAACTGGGAAAACATTTACAGGAGTGTGAATAGTTTTGTATTTTCTTAGCTAAAAACAACTAGGAACACGTACAAATCAGGTTTAAACAATGTTTTAACCTCAGAAAATGGTTTCAGATTCTGCTCCTGGATCATCCAAAGAAGAAAATCAGGGACACCCAGAAATATAAACCTTTCCGAAGGATTGCCAAGGTAAAAAAAAAAAACATGAAATCTTGATGTCAGACATTTATGAATCATTTAAAGTTTCAAGCACTGTAAAGATGTGAAAACAAACTCATGAATCTCTATTTTTTAGAGTTGTCGCCCCTCTTTGAAAGTCCTCTGCAAAGAAGTCCTCAATGTAAAGGTTCAGCAGGGGGAACACTCATCTGTAAGTAATCAGTGAATGAAGCATTTACTGTAATATTTTAAGTAATATGCAAATTAAAAGCTAAATTAATTGTTTTCAAATATTTTCAATAAGCGCTTCCTGTGTTATCAGGTCCAAGATGCACAGGCCACCATGAGGCTGTATACACTAGTGAGAAAACAGTGGGAAGCAGAGATTAAAGCTGGTAAGAAAAGCAAAGATTCAGGGGAGAAAAAAAAGAGGAAACCGAGATAAGAACGACACCAGGATAACAAAACCAACATGGAGGAGAACAACATCCCCAGAATCAGAGCAGCTGGAATCAATCTGGACTTGTTTTCATAAAGAAGAGAATCCAGTGGCCTTCTTGGCCAACTATTGAGAAAACATGTGTCTGAGCCAAACATTACTGATGGTTGTGAAAGAAAAACAAAAAACTTTTTGTTGGCGACTCAGTTCAATGGAAGTCAAAATGTTCCAGAAGAGTTTTTGGGTTGAGACTGTTTAGCTTTAGGCCTGATATGTTTCTCAGCTATCTCTCCTTTAACTCCAGTAGATTGAAATGGTCTCACATTAAGTCTGCGTTACAGATTATTTTCAAAGATTTCCCTTTAAATGGTGTCTAAAATGTCCAAGGGTTCTTTGAAACTTCATTTCTTACAGCAACCCCATCATTATTAAAGTCTTTAGTAAAGATGTGTCCAATAAGATGTCACTTCTTTTTTGAAAGAAAAATCATATTTCAATATTTTTTCTTGTTTAAATATTTTTCCAGCATGTTGTTCCTCACAGTGAGATTCATATTTCTAAATATTCCTTATCTTTCTCTTTAGATCTTTCCACAATCATGTTGGTTGTGTATATTTTCCCTTTTAAGACTGTTTTTTAAAAGAAATCAGATGTCTATCAAGGACTTCTTTATGTGTAATGGTTTTGTTTTAATATTTGAAATTAAACAAACCTGAATAAAACATCACTTAAAAGAAACCACAGAAGAGTTTCTTTTTAAATAAAATGTTATTTGCTTTCAAAAGTTGATACACAACAGCTTTATTAAATTACAAAGTGAAGCTTATATCTAGAATCATTACAGATATAACCCATGCATTTTATTCCTCATTATTACTACATATACCCCAATTTATGAAAAAAAAAATTAGATAAATTATAAATGACAGAAATGTTATGTCAAAATAAAGGAAGACAAGTTTATTTTTTTAGCACAATTCAGTACATGGACAATTCAAAGTGCTTTACATGAATTTGATAGTGGAAGAAAAATAAAAACGAGGATCAAAAACGTGTAAAACACATAAAACAATTGGACCCCAACCTTAAACTGTTAATACATCAATTGCTGGTGAGGATTCTCACTCATTCAGTTCATAGTCTTTCCAAATAAGTAAAAACAAAACAATCCACTGGACTTTTGGACGTTTTCCAAGTTTGAGGACTTGGATGACTGATAATCTTCACCAATATATTGCATTCCATTTTGGGAAAGACACCCCTGGAATAATGTGCGAGTATAAGAAATTGCTTTGGAAACAAGCAGAATATAGGAATCATCTTTGTTAGACCAGTATCAGGTTTTGCAGGCTAACAATGACCTGACTTCCCTTTAGGAATGGGAATGACCTTGCATTCCTAAAGGGGCGGCCATGTTCTCCTGTTCAGTTTGCGTGTTTTCTAAGCCAAAACAAGCCTTTGTTTGGGCTACTTTATAAAGCTTGGAACTCCATGCCAATTCTGACATTTTGGGAAGTGAAACGTCTTCAAATATGGAAAACAAAGTCTAGTGGATTGTTTAACTTTTTTTTGGAATACCTCAGTTATCACTTTAACCTCCACAATCAAAGACAGCTCTAAATAAATGGGTTTTTAAACTTTTGACTTTAAAGAACTCAGGCTGTCAGCACTTTTACAGTTTTCTGGGAGTTTGCTCCAGATCAGTGGAGCATAGGAACTATATGCTGCTTCTCTGTTTGGTTCTAGTTCTGGGTGAACAGAGCGGGCTGAAATTAGAAAACCTGAGTGGTCTGGGAGGTTGATACACTGACAACAAATCTGTTATGTATTGAGATTTGATCCATTCAGTGATTTATAGACCAACAGGAGGATTTTAAAGTCTATTCTCTGAGCTACTGGGGGACAGTGGAAGGACTTCAGAACTGGGCGGATGTGCTCTATGTTCTTAGTTCTAGTGAGAACATGGGCAGCTGCATTTTGGATGCAGCTGTCTGATGAATTCTTTAGGCACACCTGTGAAAACACTGTTGTGGTAATCAATTCTACTAAAGATAGATGCATCGATTAGTTTTTCTAGATCCGGCTTAGACATTAGTCCTTTGATCCTGGAGATGTTTTCTAGGTGATAAAGAGAATGACTTAGTAACTGTCTTGATGTGCCTCTGAAGGTTTAGGTCTGAGTCCATCATGACACCCAAGATTTCAGGCATAATCAGTGATTTCTAGCTGTAATAGCTGAAGCTGTGAGATAACTCTGGATCTCTCCTTTGGTCTGAAGATTATTACCTCAGTTTTTGTAAGACTGCTTAACAGCAAGGATAAAACACAAAAAGTCCTGACTAAAGAAGCTGTATGCAGGTATAATAAAGGAAAGTTGAGTGGAGGAAGAAATTTTGGTAGAAAAGGATAACCGCAGCCCTGGAAGGATCTTGATGGAAAGCACATTCAGTTTGTGGTCAGAACTTGTATACATACATATTAATATATGTACAGGTGCTGGTCATAAAATTAGAATATCATGAAAAAGTAGATTGATTTCAGTAATTCCATTTAAAAAGTGAAACTTGTATATTATANTTCACTATCAATCTTCTGAAACTCTCACAGAAAGGCTGAATTTATACCAGACTGCTGAGCTGTATTTAGTAAATAGGTGGTTACTGAAGGCAAATGGTTGCGTAGATGGTATTTAGGGGCATTAAAGTAAATTTGGTTGAATACGAACCTGTAGCCAACCTTTCCAATCCTAATTAAAAGTTGAAAATGGTTACATTTTCCATCCTTTTCATCATTATTTATTACTTTGCATTAGTCCATGGTAGGTGGGTCAACTGCAGTCTTTGATGACCAGTATTCTGCACCTTTTGGACATGTCTCTTGTTCAATGCAACTGACAGAATTACCTCATAGACACTTTCGAGTTCTGCTTATGATCTTATTGTATGATTTAGGCATGTTGATCAGAGATGCCTCTTTCAGTTGCAGGACACTGGGTCTTGAGGACTGAAGCTTGATACGTGAAGTTTAGGGTTGTGAGGTGGTAAACTGGGAAAACATTTACAGGAGTGTGAATAGTTTTGTATTTTCTTAGCTAAAAACAACTAGGAACAGTTACAAATCAGGTTTAAACAATGTTTTAACCTCAGAAAATGGTTTCAGATTCTGCTCCTGGATCATCCAAAGAAGAAAATCAGGGACACCCAGAAATATAAACCTTTCCGAAGGATTGCCAAGGTAAAAAAAAAAAACATGAAATCTTGATGTCAGACATTTATGAATCATTTAAAGTTTCAAGCACTGTAAAGATGTGAAAACAAACTCATGAATCTCTATTTTTTAGAGTTGTCGCCCCTCTTTGAAAGTCCTCTGCAAAGAAGTCCTCAATGTAAAGGTTCAGCAGGGGGAACACTCATCTGTAAGTAATCAGTGAATGAAGCATTTACTGTAATATTTTAAGTAATATGCAAATTAAAAGCTAAATTAATTGTTTTCAAATATTTTCAATAAGCGCTTCCTGTGTTATCAGGTCCAAGATGCACAGGCCACCATGAGGCTGTATACACTAGTGAGAAAACAGTGGGAAGCAGAGATTAAAGCTGGTAAGAAAAGCAAAGATTCAGGGGAGAAAAAAAAGAGGAAACCGAGATAAGAACGACACCAGGATAACAAAACCAACATGGAGGAGAACAACATCCCCAGAATCAGAGCAGCTGGAATCAATCTGGACTTGTTTTCATAAAGAAGAGAATCCAGTGGCCTTCTTGGCCAACTATTGAGAAAACACGTGTCTGAGCCAAACATTACTGATGGTTGTGAAAGAAAAACAAAAAACTTTTTGTTGGCGACTCAGTTCAATGGAAGTCAAAATGTTCCAGAAGAGTTTTTGGGTTGAGACTGTTTAGCTTTAGGCCTGATATGTTTCTCAGCTATCTCTCCTTTAACTCCAGTAGATTGAAATGGTCTCACATTAAGTCTGCGTTACAGATTATTTTCAAAGATTTCCCTTTAAATGGTGTCTAAAATGTCCAAGGGTTCTTTGAAACTTCATTTCTTACAGCAACCCCATCATTATTAAAGTCTTTAGTAAAGATGTGTCCAATAAGATGTCACTTCTTTTTTGAAAGAAAAATCATATTTCAATATTTTTTCTTGTTTAAATATTTTTCCAGCATGTTGTTCCTCACAGTGAGATTCATATTTCTAAATATTCCTTATCTTTCTCTTTAGATCTTTCCACAATCATGTTGGTTGTGTATATTTTCCCTTTTAAGACTGTTTTTTAAAAGAAATCAGATGTCTATCAAGGACTTCTTTATGTGTAATGGTTTTGTTTTAATATTTGAAATTAAACAAACCTGAATAAAACATCACTAAAAAGAAACCACAGAAGAGTTTCTTTTTAAATAAAATGTTATTTGCTTTCAAAAGTTGATACACAACAGCTTTATTAAATTACAAAGTGAAGCTTATATCTAGAATCATTACAGATATAACCCATGCATTTTATTCCTCATTATTACTACATATACCCCAATTTATGAAAAAAAAAATTAGATAAATTATAAATGACAGAAATGTTATGTCAAAATAAAGGAAGACAAGTTTATTTTTTTAGCACAATTCAGTACATGGACAATTCAAAGTGCTTTACATGAATTTGATAGTGGAAGAAAAATAAAAACGAGGATCAAAAACGTGTAAAACACATAAAACAATTGGACCCCAACCTTAAACTGTTAATACATCAATTGCTGGTGAGGATTCTCACTCATTCAGTTCATAGTCTTTCCAAATAAGTAAAAACAAAACAATCCACTGGACTTTTGGACGTTTTCCAAGTTTGAGGACTTGGATGACTGATAATCTTCACCAATATATTGCATTCCATTTTGGGAAAGACACCCCTGGAATAATGTGCGAGTATAAGAAATTGCTTTGGAAACAAGCAGAATATAGGAATCATCTTTGTTAGACCAGTATCAGGTTTTGCAGGCTAACAATGACCTGACTTCCCTTTAGGAATGGGAATGACCTTGCATTCCTAAAGGGGCGGCCATGTTCTCCTGTTCAGTTTGCGTGTTTTCTAAGCCAAAACAAGCCTTTGTTTGGGCTACTTTATAAAGCTTGGAACTCCACGCCAATTCTGACATTTTGGGAAGTGAAACGTCTTCAAATATGGAAAACAAAGTCTAGTGGATTGTTTAACTTTTTTTTGGAATACCTCAGTTATCACTTTAACCTCCACAATCAAAGACAGCTCTAAATAAATGGGTTTTTAAACTTTTGACTTTAAAGAACTCAGGCTGTCAGCACTTTTACAGTTTTCTGGGAGTTTGCTCCAGATCAGTGGAGCATAGGAACTATATGCTGCTTCTCTATGTTTGGTTCTAGTTCTGGGTGAACAGAGCGGGCTGAAATTAGAAGACCTGAGTGGTCTGGGAGGTTGATACACTGACAACAAATCTGTTATGTATTGAGATTTGATCCATTCAGTGATTTATAGACCAACAGGAGGATTTTAAAGTCTATTCTCTGAGCTACTGGGGGACAGTGGAAGGACTTCAGAACTGGGCGGATGTGCTCTATGTTCTTAGTTCTAGTGAGAACATGTGCAGCTGGATTTTGGATGCAGCTGTCTGATGAACTCTAGGCACACCTGTGAAAACACTGTTGTGGTAATCAATTCTACTAAAGATAGATGCATCAATTAGTTTTTCTAGATCCTGCTTAGACATTAGTCCTTTGATCCTGGAGATGTTTTTCAGGTGATAAAAGGCGGACTTAGTAACTGTCTTGATGTGCCTCTGAAAGTTTAGGTCTGAGTCCATCATGACACCAAGATTTCAGCCATAATCAGTGGTTTCTAGCTGTAGTAGCTGAAGCTGTGAGCTAACTCTGGATCTCTCCTTTGGTCCGAAGATTGTTACCACAGTTTTCATTTTTATTCAGTTGTATAAAGTCTGCTTAAGGGTAAACCACAAAAAGTCCTGAATAAAGAAGCTGTATGCAGGTACAATAATGGATAGCTGAGTGGAAGAAGAAGTTTTGGTAGAAAAGGATAACCGCAGCCCTGGAAGGATCTTGTTGGAAAACACATTCAGGAGTTGCTCGTCAGAACTTGGAGTCACCAATTTAAATATTAATATATGTATGTATACAAACGTTCACCAAATACAGACCTACCCATGACTTGTACTACAACTGTCTCCTCATAGTAGGCCTCTTCTGAATCAAACACAACTTTAAACAAATTTTAGCTGGGCTAAGAGCAAAATGACTGGACTGTTGCTCAATGGTCAAAAATACATTTCATATAGCCTGAAGGAAGAGTTTAGAGATGCACAATCCCAGCTGTTCATCGGTAACTATGGAGTGATGGTTTGGAGTCATCTGATGCTGCTGGTTCACTTCATTTAATTAAATCTGAAGTCATGACGACAATCTGCTCCAAGCTCCCTGGAGATACTGATTTCATCATCTTATAGGACCTAGAACAAAGTGCTAAATTACCAACACCTGCTTTATTGACCATGGTATTACTGTTTGATTGGCCTGATCTGACTTAGAGAATATTTGGGTTATAGAGTAGCAAACAGACCTAACATTTAACATCAGAGCAGCTTGAATTTTGGGGGGAAATTTATTTGAATTAATAAAACTTTTATCAGAGTTTTCATATTACTGCTCAATGTTGCATCCAAAAGATAAAACTATTTGTCTAAAAAGCTTTTGGCTCTTAATGACATTGAAAAGTATGGTTCTCAGAATAATGTCTGTCTTATGTCCTTACATTTTTATTAAATCTAAATATGCTTTAGTTCAAAGGAAGCAAGTTTTCCAAAATACTTGAGCTTAGACTTTTATCCACATGTGATATTGAAATACTGTTAGGTCTTGAAAATGTGTGTCTGACCTGGAAACATTTTGATATGAGGAAAGTACTTCATTCTGAGCTTGGGTAGACTTGTGCCTAATAAATAATAAAGGCCAATGCAACCATTTAACCCCTAGGTCTCAATGTTAGACTCATTCATCATGCTGCATGTCCTGGTTCCTTGGAAAGGCACCGTTTACAAAGTGATTTCAGGTAATTGTTTTATGTCAAAAAATATAGCCTTGATCAAATACATCTTTAGTGCTGAATGATGTCATAAGCGTTAATAAATGGAAAGTTCAGGTTCATTTATTGTTTTATAAATGCTTCACACAATGACTTTAGAGGAGCTGCATGCAGAGTTATGTTCAGGCCTGGTCTGCTTATCTGTTAAAACGATATTGACTTCTTATATGGGTTTGTTTGTAGATAATGACTTTAATAAAAAAGTGCATCAAAGAAAGTGCAGAAAATGGTATCTAAACCTGCAGGAAATAACATTTGTGTAAAATGATAACACATTGTCAGACTGTAGTAACCATTGTTAAAAGTGCTCTGATCTTCTGTTGTGCTTTTCTTCAACTAAACAGGTTTTTAGCCTTGAATGGTGAACACTTTGAACATTTAATCGCACCAATATCAATCTCAGAGTCAGCCTTTAGATAAAACAAGAAAAGGAAAAAAAAGAAGCATGTCATCAGGGACACTTTAAAATTTGATTTCTGCTTCTTATAATTTCAGTGTCGATAAATAATCATGTAGACTGCTGTTTTTATCTGTACAAATACTGATCAGCCTTAATATTTTCATCTACCACTGAGTAGAATCTCAGCCCTCACCTGTTGAGGATTTTAATTGACTGGATTATTGAAGGTCTCTGGGATTTAATTTTACAGCTAATTGTCAATCTACAATTTTTTTTTACCCAATGACCATTTTTGTTTTTCTTCTTAAAGAATGGTAACATGATGGGTTGTGCTTTGCCTGCAATGTGTTAGGTTTTTCACCCCATGTAAAATATACCTGCCTGCACCCATTGGTTTCAATTAAAACAGTGAGTTAGTGCTGCTTCCCCTGTTAGAGGTGGTTTCATCAATAGATACCGACCAGCATTGGCAGCTATACTCT